CAAACTCTAAATCAAAATCTCCAGTCAGTAAGTGCTCACAGTCACAATAACTGTTTGGTTGTTGGGGCAGTGAAGATCATTGAAGATTTTAAATGCTATGTCCTTTATAGTGCCGTGATTATATATAACGTTTTCTGCACGTTTTATATTATTTTTGCCCAAGTTCTGTATTTTGTTTTTAATGTTTTGCATGTTTTGGCTCATCGATTGATGCCAGATGAATTAAACTATAATCTGTCTGTCACTTCCTTGTCCCTCCTTTTAAGTCAAACTGTATATAGCTTCGACCTTATGAGTCCAAATATTGAATGCTGGTTAATTCATGATTCTCTTTTTGGAAGTGGAAGATTTACTGGTGTTTAGTAAATGATATTTCTAAAAGGAAAAATGTAGAATCTTAAGTATGATCTGAAACAGTTTCCGAGGAACAATTGTAAGTTCTATTCATGATTATGGTGCGGAAGCTTGATGACAAAGTTAAAATAGAAGAATCCTAACTGCAGAGGCCCAGGAAGAACCTGTTGGATGGTGAGGGTTGGGGGGTACTTCAATATATGGAGTAGTGAATGTTCATATGCTGCTGGTCAATGATGGATTAGGTAGTTCATGCTTATAGTAGTGACTTGTTAACTTGATTTTCTTGACTGTCTAACTGGAATTTGTTTGTTTTCCCAGTTCTCCTTCTTTCCTCTCGAGTTATGGAGACTGTGGGACCCAAACCGATTCATCAATTAGCTTTCTATGTAGATTTATTGTTACCTGGGTTATAAGTCAGTTGCTAAATCTCCTATGAGTATATAAAGTATGGTTTGGTTAATTTAAGTGGAAGATTGTATCTTTTATACTAAAGTCGATTTTTAGGTTTCTTCAAGACCTTAATGTTAGTTATATATCTGATGATGATGCTCTGCTAGATTGTTGGTTCAGAGAACCCTGTTCTGATGTCTGCAGCTGAGCAGATCTTTGGTGCTGGTGGTAAAAGAATGAGACCAGCATTGGTGTTCCTAGTTTCAAGAGCTACAGCAGAGTTAGTTGGAATGAAGTAAAGTACAGAACTCTTTATAAGAAGTACAACACATGTTAATTATAGTGTTAGACTAAGGTCTATTTTATACTGCTTTCTTTCCAGGACCTTACAACAAAGCATCGGCGTTTGGCTGAGATCATTGAGATGATTCATACTGCAAGCTTGATACATGATGATGTATTAGATGAAAGTGACACGCGAAGAGGTTGGCCTCTACATATAACTTCTTTTTCATGTATTTAATGTGTTGTTCTTCTATTCAAGTCTCCCAATTCAAGTAGCAGCAATCTCAAACCCGAAGAGATATTAGTTATTCTATTCAAGTTAATTGAGAAATGCATTGTCTGGGGTTATTGTTCTTCACTGCACATGATCAATATAATAGATTACATTCTTTACATAACTGGAGTAATCACCACCATAGTTGTTCTAGTCAAGAGATCATCTTGTTGTGCAAAGTTACCGTATGCTAAATCTATCGTGGTTGAAGTTCAAAGTTCAGACCTTGTTACCTAATTACTGAACCCTGTGGGATCATCTATTTTATCAAGAAGTACCGTGCAGCTTCTAGAACAGAAAATAGGGAAAAGAGAAGTTTAAGAAGGAAAAGTGCTGAATAAAATAAAGTTCATATACTTTTTCTGTATTTTTTGAGTATGAGATTCTTTATTAATTCTTAGTTTTCAGGTTAGCTTTCTTTGGTATCCTTTATGTCTTTCAAGTTTCATCACTCCGGAGAGTCCTGATTTGAAACTGCTTCTAACTTAACTGCAGGTAAAGAAACTGTTCATCAATTGTACGGCACGAGAGTAGCAGTACTGGCTGGGGACTTCATGTTTGCTCAGTCTTCATGGTACCTTGCAAATCTTGAAAACCTTGAAGTCATTAAACTCATCAGCCAGGTACATATGACATATACCAAACATTTACCTTTTCTTTCGGATGTAAATGTGGGTATATGATATTTGATTTAAAAGTTCCACAATTATGGATTGAAAGTGTGCTCCGGCTATCTAGAACATTTCAAACTATTGATAATTTAGTTAAATTAGTCTAAAGCATAGAATAATATGTGATATTGCAGGTTATTAAGGATTTTGCAAGTGGTGAGATTAAGCAAGCATCTAGTTTGTTTGACTGTGACCTTGAACTTGAGGAGTATTTGCTAAAGAGTTACTACAAAACAGCTTCTTTAATTGCGGCAAGTACCAAAGGAGCTGCTATTTTCAGTGAAGCTGATTGTAGTGTTACAGAGCAAATGTATGAATTTGGCAAGAATCTTGGCCTATCATTCCAAGTTGTTGATGACATATTGGATTTCACACAATCCGCAGAGCAGCTGGGGAAGCCAGCTGGTAGTGATCTAGCGCAAGGCAACCTGACAGCACCGGTAATTTTTGCTCTAGAAAAAGAACCAAAACTTAGAGAAATCATTGAATCCGAGTTCTGTGAGATTGGTTCCCTTGATGAAGCAATTGAATTGGTTAAGAAATGTGGGGGAATTGAAAGAGCACAAGAATTAGCAAAAGAGAAAGCTGATCTTGCAATTAAGAATCTACAATGTCTTCCTCATAGCACTTTCCGGTTAGCTCTTCAAGATATGGTGATGTTTAATCTTGAAAGGATTGATTAGTTAGACATGTTTCACAACACAAGCAATTTGCAAACGGAGGACCATTATTCGAAATCGACAGCCTAGTCTTAAACAGAGAATGCTCGAACTTGAAGCCTCTACCCATAGAAAAAGCTCTATTAGCACATTAGTTGGTTAGTACTGCTGAATCCAGGTTGCTTGTGACTGGTTGTATATTCATACAAGGTATTGAGCTTTGACTTGAGCTCCTCATATCAATTTATTCAATTATAGTTTGGTCTGGAGAAAAAAAACATTCCTCTATTAAATTGTTGCACAATAAAGTTTTTGAGGTCTTCAATACCAAGCTAAAAACTTTTCATTTCCAGATTGTGTACTGATCATTATGTAACTTGGTTTGAAAATGCATGTAGAATGGTCAATTATGCTAGATTGCATTTACTATTTAGGAATGGTTTGTTACTTAAAACATTTGTACCTTGTGGATTGTGTTTTGTTGACTTTAAAACCTGTCACGGGGTTGCCAATGCAATCCCAATTGATCATATTTGATAAAAAAGAGTCAAATACTGTAACATGAGAAAACTAGAATTTGTGAATGGCTTAAGCATGAAATAATCTATACTGAAAGTTGCCCAAACTAGAAAAAAAACTTGAAAAAAATACATATTACATAAATCTAAAAGATAATCTGAATTACCTTAACCTAAATGATTTAAACTTAAAATAATTGAACATGAATCCACCTAAAGCCATTCGATTTACCAATTCTAATAACATCTTTGATTAAATTTTGCCAAAAATCCTTATATTTTGTCAAAATTTAATTTTTGTACTGTAATTTATATAAATTTAGTCATCATATTATTTTAATTTGATAATTTTAATTTAATCACTAATTTCGTCAATTTTTTTTGTATTTAAAATATTGACATAACCATTAATTTGATGATGTGGATATTGATTTTGCTGATGGTGTTAATTTTGATGGCTTGACAATTTGGATAAAATCAATTGTCAAATTATATAAATAATTGTATAATCACGTGAAACTTGAATTTTAATCTCTCTAATATAATGTTATAAAAATCTCATCTTTGTACAAGTTGAATTTGATAATATTGGTTCAAATAATAACAAAAATTATACTTTTTTTAAAAATCAAAAATTAAAATTTTTAAATAAAAATTAATTCTTTTAATATTTTAGAATTTTTCATATTTTTAAAATATAAAATTAATATTTTAAAATATTTTAATTTTTTAAAATCATATTTTTTGAATTTTATAAAATATGATTTTATTTTTCTAAAAAAATTCAATATTTTGAATTATTTTTTCTAGGTTTTTTAAAAATATTAAATTTAAAATTTCCAATATTTAATTTTTTAAAGTTTTGTAATTTTTAAAAATTTAACATTTTATTTAAATAAAATATTTAATTTTAATTTTTTGGAATTTTTATAAAATTTTCTATATTTTTTAATTTTTATGCTTTTTCATAAATTTTTATATTTTGTTATTTTTTGTATTTTGGAAAGAGTTTGCAAATTAAAAAAAAACTGCACATTTTTTATGTTATTCAATGAAAAAAAAAATTTCTCGTAATTCATTATGCTCTGTTGTACCTGATATTATATGTTCTTTCTCCTCAAATATATTAAAATGGAACAAATTCTAAAGGTTCAAGTCTTTATAATTTATTTATTTATTAAAATATTAAAAAATATAAAAAATTACAAAAAAAAAAACAAAAAAATTAAAAGCAAAAAGAATTAAATATCTTGAGTAAATAAAATGTTAAATTTTAAAAAATAACAAGTTCAAAAAATGAATTTAAAAAAATTAAAATATTTCTACAACGTAATTTAATATTTTTTAGAAGTCCAAAAAATCTATTAAAATTCGAAATATTAGTTTTTTTAAAAAACAAAATATATATTTTAAAAAATTAAAAAAATTAAATTTAATACTTTAAAAATATGGAAAAATTGTAAAAAAAATTCTAAATATAATTTTTTTAAAAAATAAAAAAATAATTTTGTAGTAATTAGATCAACGTTATTAAATTCAATTTATACGAAAGCAAATATTTATGAAATTATACAAAGAAAATTAATTTCAAATTTGTTACGAATACAAAGATCATTTTATATAATTTAATAATTAATTTTATTCATTAAATTATCGTATCAATAAAATCAACAATGCCCATATTATCAAGTTAACAATTACATTAATATTTTTAATTACAAAAAATTGATAAAATTAATAATTATATTAAAATTATCAAATCAAAGATGAGAATTAAATTTATATAAAATTTAGTATAAGGACTCAATTTTAAAATTTAGCAGAGTGTAAAGACCTCTAACGCAATTTGATCAATATCTTTTCCTTGACTGTTCAAAAAACAAAATTTGGGTCACATGTGTAATTAAGTCTTAATAGGGACTTGAAACCAGCCAGCAGTTACGTTGCGATTCAGCGTTTTCCATTTCTTAGTTTGAAGAACTTAAAGAAACCCAAAATTAGAGAGAAAAAAGATGAGACAATGGATGAACATAGCAAAAGAAGCCATAGCTCGAGCCTCCATCGTCGTTAAATTCATCTGCTTACTCCACGTCACTGACGCCTACCTCCTGTCCTCTAGCCATGTTTGTAACTTTATCAAAACTCTCCCTCTTCCTTTTTTTGTTTTTTAGGGAATTAATTGAATATATGCAGGTGTTGGGTCCTAGCATGCTCCCAACCTTAAACACTACCGGCGATGTCGTACTAGTCGAAAACTTGTCTCACCGGATAGGCAAACTGGGTTCGGGTGATTTGGTTCTGGTTCGATCGCCGCTCGACCCTAAAAAGAGCATAACTAAGCGCATTATAGCCATGGAAGGTGATAAAGTTACTTTCTCTGCTAGAAACCACAGTTTTCTTTCTCTTGTGGTACTCTTCTCCTCTTTTAATTGGGTTCGCCTTATTTTGAAAAAATTTAGTTTTTTTTTTAATTTTTTATTTGTGAATAATATTTGTTTTAATTACAGTTGTCGAATTTGTAGTTTAATGAAAAATTTAGGCTCCGGATTGTTGTTTTCTCTGTTTTTCTTATGATTTTGCAACTAATAGCAGATATTACGAAGATGTGTTTATATTAAAAATTAAAATTCTAATTTCTTTCATTAAGAACTTCTTTTGGGAAAATGAAGTTAAAGTTCGTATTTTTATGAAACAAAAACCAAGTTGAAAAAGTAACAATCTAACGGAGCTTTGGGTTGATTGGAAAAGTTAAAAGATTTGAACTTTGTAGAAACATATATATGATTAGATTCTTGAATTATTATTATTATTTTTTTGTTATTTTACTTTGGGTATAAATGGATAGGTTCCAAAGGGACATGTTTGGATTCAAGGGGATAACTTGTATGTTTCTAGAGATTCACGGGAATTCGGGCCTATACCTTATGGTCTTATTCAAGGGAAAGTGTTTTTCAGAGTAAGTTATGCAATTCTAATTGCCTTTGAATTTGTTCCCAATATTGATTTCCACTGTCTTTATCTGTTTTGTAACGTGGGGAACATTTAAACGTAGAGCCATATAATATATAATTTCTTTGGCGTCATAAATTTATTTTTTGTCCATACTTCGATTCAGTTTACTTTCAGTTCTTGTATATCATAAGAACTAGTTTTCAGTGATTTTTGACAAGAAATTTTTTATGCTTAAAATTGAGAGACAATAGTTAACTGACTTTAACTAAATAGGGTTTTAGCTGTGTTTTTTGTGCAATTAACCAGTTCAATGATTTGGGAATTTTTGGCTGAGACTTGAACTATTGTAGGTGAACGGTGATGTAATTTTTTTCTATGAAAGTGTCTAAAAGGGACAACATTGGATTCATGTTAAAGCAGTATACATGGTCTGTCTTGGTAGCTTTGGTTTGAAACTTTGCAGTTAAGCTTTGTCTATCTTGAGAAGATTTGGATATGACTTAACTTGTCTCCAGAAAAAACAAATATTGGATTTTCGTAATTTTATGCCTTTGGCTTAATGAACTTCGCCTAATTGCTGAAAGAATTGAAAATAAGGTGTAGATTGTTGATAAGTAAGGCTTCACTGGTAATCTTGCATGTGAAGAGTTTTAGAAAGTGAGTATGTATTGAATACATTAAGGTAACGTTTGATCAGCTTGCATTGTTCATGAACATGGGACATTTATATTACTATCTTTGACGTATCTTCACTTAAAATTGATTGCTTGAATGGTGGCTAAGATGCAACATTCACCTAGTCCTTGTATTTATTTTTATATGTCTCCTATCACTGATAAATTTTTGCGAATTGCTTGAAGCTTTTTTTCTAACCTCTTGTTTGTTAGGTATGGCCACCTAAAGGCTTTGGATCATTGGGTCAATGAGAGTATACATTCAAGGTATATAGTTTGCTATCCATCTCTTTTTAAGATATAGACTTGTGCTAACGTTCTGACTGGCAAATGCATGAAGGAAAGACTTCTACTCCAATCTATTTATGTGAATGGTCTTTTCTGTTGCTAGTTTCAAAATGATGTTGCTGATTGTTCTGTAGGATGATAATTTAGTTGCTGAACGGTATGTTAGCCATTGCTTTTGTTTTTAATTCTTTTCGGGATCAATATTTTGTGAACTTAACACTTTGGTTATGAAATTTTCCTTTCCTTTCCTTTGTTTGACAGTGATATTGCTTCTTCTGTTGGTTGGACCTTATACTCTCCCCTTGTATTGGGTTTTGACTTGTGAATTGTTGGATTACATGCAACTGTAATTTGCTGACAATCGCTTGTTTGCTGCCTGCCAACGCCAAGTTGAAGTCGCTGCCTGACCTGTTATAGTCTCATCTTCTTCCAGTTCCAAGGTTTCAAATAGGGTCCTGGCCCTCTTAGGAATCTGGAGTTAAATCCTGTTAATCTGATTTCTTCATGGGACCTGTTTTTCTATTTTTCTTATTAACACCTTAGGTTAATGTATCTTTCCAAATGCATTCTCACCCAATACATGCATATATCCATTGAACGAAGATGTCACTGTGGTTTTCTTTTGTGAATCTACATACCATCGATGTCTAGTTAGCTTGTTGAGAAATGCCATACCCCCTTTTATGTAAAAGCATGCTTCTTCTAGCTACCATTGTATTGGTCCAAGTTTGATGGATTCTGAATGTATTATTAATTTCTGATTTGATATGGCATTTTAATGGATGTCAAGGTTGGCCGAAACAAGCATAAAAAGATCAACATTCCACGTTACCTGACTTTTTCATGAGCTTTTTTCTTAAACTGAGATCACAAAATACCATCTGTTTGATATTTTACATAGTCTATGACTTCTATTGAAGGGGCATTAACTCTTTAGAATTTGATGTTAATAGGAAGTTCTGAATTTGAATCTTGGGTTTGTGTTATAATTTCGGATATCAGAAAATAGATCCATATCCATTCCAATCAGGTCGAGTTTGGATCAAGTTGGAAAAAAATTTCAGATTGTTTTGACACATCATTTTAGATTCAAATTATTTTAAGATGAAATTATAATTGGGTTATGTCATTTTAAATTCAATTCATTTTAAGATGAAGTCATGACAGAAAAGAAAATTCGGGTTTGAAAAGAAAATTTGGATTGTTTTAGCTTGAGTCATTTTAGACTCAAATCATTTCAAGATGATCTTGAAATCATTGGATCTAGATTGTTGAATTTTAAAGTTAAATAAAAAAAAAGAATATACCTGTGATTTAAAAAAAAAAATATCATAACCAGTGCATAGAATAGGTAATTTTTTTTATTTCAATTAAAAAATTAAAAATTTTAAAAAAATTCATTTATTTTAAATAACATAAAAGATAAAGTCTACGACTCTGAAATTAAAAATGACAATAAAACGAATATCTATTTTTTTTATAAATATCAATATTCGAATTCATTTAAACAAATAATACTTATTTAAACAATATTCGAATTCATTTAATATTTATAAACATCAATATTCGAATTCATTTAAATAAGTAATATTTGTTTAAATATCCAAATATGTTAAAATATTATTTATTTAAATTTTTTATCAAAATATAAAATAAGCAAAATTTAATTTAAAATTACTCTTAATTAATAATAAATAGAAATTATTTTTTAAGATCTAAAATCTTATACAAGTATAAAATTTTTTATATTTTATATATGTAAAAAAATAACGAATTAAAATATTTATTTTTATTCATTAAAATTTAAATATATATTCAGATATTAAATATTTAAAAAATATTATTCATATTCAAATTCATAAAAATAATAATTTTTTTATTTAAATCAATTAATTAATTATTTATAATTATTCAAATTTAATATAAACAAATCTATTTATTTATTATTTATTGTCCGCATCAAAAGAAAAAAAAAAAAACAAGCGTCTAGGGTTTTTGAAGGGCAAAATGGAGAAATCGTGCATAATAATCTTCCTATAAGTAACAAAGAAGGTTAGGTTTGTAGTTTTTCAAATTGCCTTTGAGAGAACAGAGCGAAGTCTTAGTTTTGGCAGTGCCGCTCTTGTTCCGTTGCGGGCGTAAAGCAAACTTCAGAAGTAATTCCTTTCTATTTCTGCAAGCAATTTTTCTCTTATTGCAAATTTCATAGAAAGGTATTTATACATTCTGCAAATTTTTTATTAAAAATCTCTTTTTTTTAATTTTTTTTTTAAAGGCCGTTCCAAATGAATTCTTGCTTAATAAAAAAAATGTGAGAGTTCAATTTCACCCGGCCTAGAGTTAGTTTTATGGGGCAGCCTCAAGGGTTTTGCATGTTTTTGTTATTCTCTCATGTTTAAATTCAGGGAAACTGCCCTAAATTTCTACTTTTATTTCTATTTTATTTATTTTTATTATGGTTAACATTTTCATAGTTGAGGAATTTGTCTTTTCTGAAAATATTTTTCCTTTTCTCGTGTATGATCTGAATTGAAAGATTTAAGAAATTTGTGATTTTTCTCGTTTTTTGGGTTTGGAACTTTTTTATTTATAATTATTTACAGCAAATCCTTCGAGATTTGCAGATGAATTCTTTGGATTTTTTAAGTGGGATTCAAATAAAAACAAAATAAAATTCAGGGTATTTAAAATGGATTAAATTTGTTATAACACTGCCGGAAAATTAGAAAAGTTGATAGATATATATATAATATATATATATATATATAATCTCTAGCTGAGCAGTGCAAGACAAAGCTGGGGTTGAGCCAGGCTCTTGGTCTTGGTGGATTGGACATTGAAGTGGCATGGACCCATGGCTTGTTCATATTGGACAATAATAATGTAATTAAATAATGTTTTATAATATTTTTGAGTATTAGATTTTTTACATTTTACAACCAAAATTGATGTGATATAACTTTTAATTTTATTGTGAAGTAAAAAAAATTCATTCAATTTATGAGTGCTAAAAATGAAATTAGGAATCTTGTTATTCAAACAATATTAAATACTTATATTTATCATTGAATCAAGTGTGATTAAACCGTCTAAACAAAAAGTACCATTAAACCAAGTCCCATACATTTTGGCCAGCAAAAGAGTAAAAGTCAGGTACATTTACCATTATCAATTGCTATCCAACCAAGTCTGGCTTTATTGATGGAGAGAAATGCTAGATTTTCGCTAACTAACGTTTACATGATGATCATGACTATGGATTTCTGTTCAGAACAATACAATTTGACACATAATTTGATGATTTCAACACCTAGAGTTTATGTAAAATTATGTGAGCACCATGTTGTGGGCGAAGAGTAATAGTAGCGGAAGGAGAGTGAGCATAGGAAGGGGAAAGCTCGAACCAGAAATGTCTGACAATCATAGCAATCGCCATTTTTGCTTCCATCATAGCAAAGTTCTGTCCAATGCAGATTCTAGGACCCCATCCGAATGGGAAAAATGTGACTTGACTCTTTGTTGCTTTCGAAACCCCTTCCGAGAACCTGTCAGGATTGAATTCATGTGCATCATCACCCATAGTTGTTGATCATGGTGAATCAGGACGATTGGAATTGAAATTTCTGATCCAGCTGGTAACAACAATTTCCCAGTTTTATTTCTTTTGGAATGGATCGTCCTAGCGCAACGACAGCAGGGTACAGCCTAAGAACCTCGTACAAGATCATTGTTACCTGTAGCATTCAATTACTTAAAAAAAATTGACAACTTGAACTAAATTAGATAAGCTTGCTTCTAATTGGTCCGGTTCTCCCTGTCCAACAATGAGGCCAATTATACTCGCAGATGAAAAAAATAAATTCATCCCAG